CCGCGCCCACGTCGCCGCGTTGCCTTGTTTTTCAGGTTCAGTTCCACGTGACCATCGGGCACACGGCTCTGTCCCTCTACATGGACTGCCCCTTCCCCAAGTGGATGCACTGGGCGCTCATCGCCTACGCCATCAGCTTCATCCTCCTCTTCCTCAACTTCTATGTACGGACCTACAAAGAGCCCAAGAACGCGAAGCCTGGAAAACCGGCCGTGAACGGCGTCTCAGCAAACGGTGTGAGCAAGTCAGACAAGCACCTAGGGCTGGAAAACGGAACAAAGCAGAAAAACGGAAAAGCGAAAGGAGAGTAAACTGAACTGGGCCTTAACGGTTGCTGACAATGAGGAAGCTCCCATTTCATACAAGATTTCAGGGAAAAGAGCAGCAAATGAGGGCTTGGGGTTTTGGGGAGAAGAAGACAAATGTGCTCTATGTATTAGTAACCTTTAGATTGAGTAAAGTGTTAAATACAACACCCAGATGTTTTATTTATGAAGTTTTTATTTTAAACATTTTTTTAATTAGCCTTGATGTTGTCAGACCAAAGCAATCATTACATGACCTTGGAGGCCCTCCCTCTGTTCACATGTGTTTGTCTAACGCATGAGACTTTTCAGTTACCTTCGTTCTTCAATCCAATGATCACAGAAACGCGGTCTTCATGCTTTTTTTTTTTGGTTTCTAAATTACTGATTACCTACTGACAAAAATCAGTGACCTTCCATTTTCTGGTCCCGAGCTGGAAATGTGGATACTTTGAAATGTGCACATTTGAATTCATTTGCTGACTGGAACGGTCAAATCGCTCCACCTCTAGTCCGAAGATACCCTTTTGGTTGTTATTAAATTTTAAAAATCTGATGATTTCTGTAGACTCTTAGAGGCTTGATGATGATGGTGTTGGTGAAAATAAGAATTACAGTAAAATCCTGTCTGGCGACTCAGAGGTCACCATGACTTGCAGCGCAAATCACTGTGGGAAACAATTTTTGTGATGAGAAGGCAGCCTTTCAATACTCCTGTTACTACCAGAAATATATTATGAAAATTAAGATTATTGTCTGATTGGAACATGAAACAACTCATGTCTTTATTAATAACATCATAAAATAGTTACATTTATGGACTTTTAGAAGAGTATGTTGATTTCTTATCAGGCTTTCCTTGTTTTGATTTGTGGCTGTTACCGAATTTTCATATGTGGAAATATACCTACCTCTTCTGTTGGAAAGAACATTTAAAATTAAATAAATTTTAATGAAAAAAATCAAGGAGTCCTCTACTGTAAATTTTAATATTAGCTTTCGAATTCACTAACTTTTTTTTTTTAACTAATAGCATATACCAAGATTTCCTGTGAAGCTATCCTTCTCTTTCAATGTATTTAATTTTGGAGTGATACTTTCCTTGTGACAAAGTTACAAGGTTTTATTTTTAACTAGATGTGAAGTGTAAACCCATTTTGGTACAATATTCTTGACTCCTTGGTGCTAAAGCTCATTCAATTCAGTGCTTGATTGTTACAAGGTGTTAATTGGTGACATAAAATGAATGGGGAGAGTAGCCAGAACCAACAAATGAAATTTGCTGTTTCCAAATGAAGTATTTTATGTAATATAAAAAAACTACTGGAAATCCGCTAGGGAAGAGAACTTGTACAGTGTCTCATTAGGTAGGTCACATTGCTAGTGGGTATTGCCCAGGAATCATTAGAGAAAGGGAAAATGTGACCTCTCCAAAAAGCATGAATGTTTCTAAGTATCTTTAAGATGTCAAAACTGCATGTGCAGGATGTAATGCTGTTTGTGCAGGCTATCTCGGAATATTTTGTAAACTATAAACTGTTTATTGTGCATTAAAATTACACTTTTCCCCAAAGGCATGCGGTTATGAGAATTACAGAAAATTTGCAACACATGTAAGAGTGGCCTAAGTGGATTCGACACCTTTGTTTTTGCTGCTCAGTGTGTAATGACCAGAGGTTTGTAAATCTTTGTAAACATTCTGTACTGGTTCCCCAGAGGTGTTCATTCCCTGCTACCTGATTTCAGCACAATAAATATACTACAACTGTGGGAAAGATGATTTTTTTTTTTGGTTAATCAGTTTGGTATCATATAAATTATCTACTAGATGTTTATTTGATCCGATTGTTTAAATTCTTCCCTGCTGCCAATTTCTAAAGTAGAAAAAAAATGAAACTAGAACCTGGATGTCAACAATTGCTGGTAAAAAGCTTATTTTCTTATGGGAATATTAAATTTAAAAATTAGTTGCCTTTGGAAGAACTATTAAGATCAAGGCATAAAACATATCATTTTCTTCTGATTTATTCTTACATTTGTCATTTCAAATGTAAATTTTAGCACTTTTTAATGCTGTGCTTTTTTGGTCCCAAAAATAAAGTTGGAGAGCTCTCGTGTTCTGATACTTAAATCCTTCAGTCCTTACTATACTTTAAGTTTCTTCACCAAAGATGATTTTAAGTTGTGGTAAATACAGCCTTTTCTGTCAACTTTGGTAATTTCTCTTTCATCACACTAAATACACATGCCTCATACATAAAAATCAGTACAGGAGGACTGCAGCCTCTTTTGGCAAAACTTTGTCACTAAAGAAATGTCTTCTTACATAGAAAGAAGGGAATTTGTTCAATATTTGCAGTGACTAGCCATAGCTGAGGCGTGGAGCAGTGCATTATCTTGTAGAATCAGTAACTGTCTCTCTTTTTTTTTTTCCCCCCACCTACAATATTTATTTATTTATTTGGGTCTCCCTTCTGTCGCTCTTTTTTGTTTCCCCCTTTTCTCTGTTACTCTTGGCTCTGCTTTGCTGGTAGACGCTGACCAGTGACTAGTTTCAGTTTTAGCATTGTTAATTTATTCGTTGTCTTTCTCTCTTTCCACACACACTCTGTATGCATTCAAAAAACATTTTCATATGGATTATTATCTTCACATTTTAGAGCATGGAATCCAGCCGTGTTTTGTTGTCTATTAGAAATATTTTAATTTCCAGGTTTGCTCCATGTAGCCCTGTGAGTAAGAAGGAGAACCCAGAGGTGGAGGTGATTTTTGCCATCATATCCGTTTGACATGACAGGCATCACGTGTTGACTGTTAGGACAGAACTTTGGACTCTCACCTTCATTTCAGTGCTACATCACGCTGAGCTGGTCACACTCTCTCAGCTCTTCTCTTGTTAGAGCCTTAATCTCAGCCCGCCGTGTTCATAACACCATCCTTCCTGAGAAAAAGACGACTACAGATGTAGAGGATGTGAAGAGGCGTGCTCAGTACAGACCTGGGTGACTCAGACGTAGCGTCTTGCTGGATGATAAATAGGGTCGCAGAGCTGGGAGGCACCGAGATGCCAAACTATGTGCCCAGGAGCACAGCCTCTGAGCAGCAACCACAGACCTGCTGGAGGAGACTGGTCACCTGCCACTTGGCATGCAAGCAGTTTTGACAGGTAACCTTGGAACACAAGTCCTTGATAGTTTATTTTAGAATCCACGCTTAAATTAATCTTTGGTATCTTAGGTAGAGGACATCTGCACCCGGGAGAGAAGTGGAAACAGATCCCTTGTTTCAAAACCCTCCAAATCCTACAAGTAGAAGTTGGTTTTCCTGATATAAATTACAGGGGGAAGGCGCAGCTGTGAATTGAAAGGCACAGCTTTTTTTTTTTTTTAAGTTTTTAAAACAGGAGGATGTTACATGGATACATTCCTGAAGGGCATATAGAAGTCTAAATTAAAAATTACAACTGACATAAAGAACAAACACTAGATGAAGACTGAGATTCTAGAATACATCACTAAAAGAGCATTGTGATGTATGGAGAGGTGGTAATAGCTGTGTTTAGGTGATGGTTAATTAACAGGAATTTTAGGTGAGCAAGGGTGATCTGAGTTATCTCTTGGTGTTCTTTTAGACTTATAGGTCTGAGTTTTGCTGTATCCTTTGAGAAATGAAACTTCTTTCTTACCTGTTTTAAGAAATGCCCAGAACTTAGGTCTCCTTTGTCTTTTTCATTTTACCACATAAAGACATGTTTCTGTGTCCATGTGTGAACACATTTTTCTTCATCTCTTTATTCCTTGGAGATCTATCTGGTCTTACATTGAAACTCCACTGGAATTTTTTAATTTTTCCCATTCTCCTAGGTGAGATTTTCCCCCAAGAATGTGTCCTTAATGTAGGTTCTCCTTTAAGAATAAACGCATGCTGAAACACACCCCTTGATATCTGTCTACGTAATTATAATATTTGAATGCACCTATCAGAAGGCCATGTTGTAAGTGAACATCTGCACAAAGAATATGTCCAAATCAAAAGCGATTCTAAACCGGAAACATCTTGGAAGGTTTAGAAAGTACAGCCATTTCTAAAAAGGTAGCATCTTGAAATGGTTGGGCATCCCACCTAAAATACAAGGTGGTGGGCTGTAAAGAGTGTCTGTCGGTCCACTTGCCTGTTCCAAACACTCTGCCCGCCTCTGCGTTATCCTGGAACCCCTTCTCTGCAATTTTAGAGAAGCCAGGGGGCTCCTTTCCCTCAGTTCAGAATTTTTTTTTTTTAATTTATCACAGGGAGAAAGGAAAGCATCCAGTTGAAATCCCTTCTTTGTCATCCCCGTTGAGTTTCTCCTCCCTGTGAGGAAGCAATCCTGAGAACCAGTCTTTCAAGAATAGTGATGACCACGATTGTCAAGCTGTTTGGTAACAAGAGGGCGGGAAGTCTTGCACGGTAGGTAGCATTATGTTAGGGACATTCACACCTCACCTTTGAATGTGGCTTGTGTTCCAGTTTCATTGTTGAATCTGAGAATCAAGGACAACTCTCCCATTTTTATAAGCAGATTATGTGGTGAAGGTATATCAGCTGTACACACACGGTTGAATTTCAGATCTTTTCCAAGTTCAGTTCTCATCGTGAAAATTTAATAGAGAAGGTACATGATCAGGAAAGAACAGGTAACTGCTCGTCAAAGCTGTGTTTATTTAACAACGTTTACGTGTTTTCATTATGTTTGAATTATTACTGCCAGCCCCTTTAAAAGTGGTGTTGGGTCTTTTTGCCAGAAAGAAAAGATGGATGGGAGCTTGTGAGGCAAAAAGAGCAGCCAGATGAATTTGGGGAACACGTTTCTAATTTATCCTTAGAGCTGAGATTTGGAGTTTACATCCTAGAGGCTGCCCTACAAAGTATACTTCAGAAATCCCGCAGCATCTTTAGGTTAGTGTGCTGGGTGTTTGTGGGCTCTGTGAAGCCGTTCCTAACCCCTTGATATGTTCTCCCTCCTTCCCTCTCCTGGTACTACAGTCTGGAGGACAAAAAATTAACGTTTCTCAGACTCCCTCACGAACTGAGGTTTTGTCCATGTGAGGCACTCATGAAATTTTTGGAAGGCAGAAGGGAGGTGGATGCCATCCCTCTGTAGTAATGCAGTTATATAAACAGGCTCCTTACAGACGTGTTAGCAACAGCTGAATTGCATGTTTCGCTGTCTTGGCATTGTTTTTGTGAATGCAGGGAGTGGTGTTGGTGATAGTAATCACGGCAGATGGGGTCATCTGAATTTGAGGTCTAGGACTAGCTGGTGGCTTCCTGACTTTTAGTCCTCCAAGCTATCAATAATCTTATAAGCATTGAATCCTTTGAATTAAAGCTCTTTTTGCTTGAAATACCTTGAGTGGTATCTGTTTCATGCAGTGAACCTTACGTAGTTAAGTATTCAGCACCAAAATTTAGTCAGGAAATGGACTACCAAAGATAAGACTATGGAATTGGCTATCTGACCTAGTTGAGTTTACAGGCAGCGATAACATCATGACCAGTGGGAAATGAGATACTGTTTTCCATGTAGCCAATAGCTGTTTTCACCTTTGGTTGCCAAGGATGAAATAATTATAGAAAGCAAAGCCTTTGGCAGACCACGTGACTGCTGCATTGTGGTATTGTGTTGGAAATGAGGAATATAAAGATTTGAGTGAGGCACCTGTTTCTGATTGCCCTGCAGAGCTTACAGAAAGAAAATGAGTTCATGTTTTAAATTCTTGGCTGCCCTGAGAGGCCCTCTTAGAACTTGTAGCTACAGATCTGAAACATCTTAAAACAAGATCCAAAGTTTGATCCAACGTGGGTTGCCGAATTACAACTGAAGTTTCCAGCCCTCAGTAAGTGAAAGCTGTGGCATTATTTGGGAAAGAGTGGGACCCAAAGAATTGGAATGGGGACATTAGGATGGATTTGGATCAGTCTGAGAACCTGAATCTCTCAACCCCATTGAATATTTCTGGCCAAGAAAAGCAGCACTGTCTTCCTTGTCAGGTATTAGTCCTTCATTGCTTGAGATCCTGTCATGACTTCAACCAAGGTAGTTACCTTTCAAAAGGGAGGCCGATCTTCCTTGTGTCTGCTTTCTACTCTTTCAACGCCATCACACCTGTACAGAGAATTAGATCACAGAATGCCCCAGGGGGACAAGTGCAGAACCTATCCTGGGAAGAGAGAGCCTACAACGATCAGCTTTAGCTCATTTTCCCCGGTAGAAATGTGTAAGAGTAGATTCTATGAGTGCTAAGCAAACAGAAAGAAAGATACATTTAGGTTGGACTGAAATTATTACTATGAGTGCACTTAACCAGAACTTCATAATTTGAGGATATAGCTCAACCGTGAAAAGTAACTGTCATGATTTGTCAACTGTTTAACTAAAACCTGGAATCATTAGTGGCCTACATCAAAATGAGACATATGGTTGAAATTCATTGCAGTAGTGTGGAGGAGAGGATCCAAAGGCTTAGAAAGTTACGAGTTAGGAATGTTGGAGACGGTTTATCATGTGTGGCCCACTGACCTCACTCTATTAGAGAAATGCATTGGTAAATGTACATTGGTGATAGGTCCTTGAAAATTTCTGTGCGGGCTGTTTCCTGAAGACTGGGGATTGCAGGGAGGAAAACTTTTCCTCTACCCTCTTAGGTTTGTGCCTGAGACCTGCAAATTAAACTGACAAAAGACAGATTGACAGGAGAAAAGGTTTGTAACTTTTATTACTATTAATGTTTGTAAT